AAAATCTCTATGTTCATAAATAAGACTTAACATGTGTTCGGGGGAAGATAATCTCTGAGCTGAAAGATAAACTGATGACCCCAGATTGTTACCCCATGTTACCCCATCACAGAAATTTGACTTGCACTGGTCCCTTTCCCATTTGTTAGCTCTAGGATTTGAGCTTGAGCTTACCTCAAGAGATTCAGTGAGTCTTATTTGGACTTAAACTTAAGGGTATTAGTATTTAGTATAGTTACCATTTCCAGATTTCATGTATTACTGTGCAGTTTACAGTGGAAAAGGTCAAGTCTAAAAAAGCTCTTTTGAGGAGTTGGGGTGACTTTGCTGTCTGGCTGTCTGTACCTTAAGTTCACGGTCCAGAATGTTTTAAAGAAATTGACTCAATGGAAAAGCACTTGCCTTATATGCATAAAAACCCAGTTTTATCCCTGGCAGAGCAAAAAGAAAAAAACTAACTTCCTTCTAAAATTAAGTGATAACCTTAACTCTCTAGTACATCCTGAGAATGCTTTAACTCCAAACTCCTGTATTACGGTGTTTTATAGCTTGACCAGTCTGTTCTAGAAGCTCTTCCACCTGACCTCCGGGAACAAATAGAACAAGCTTGTGCTATTCAGCAAGGAGAACTGAATGGTGACAAAAAGAAAGAACCAGTAAATGGCTGTAGTACAGGAGTTTCACCACAAACAGTTGGGACAGTTTTGTTACAAATACCAGAGCCTCCAGACACGAACAGTGACACAGGAATCAATGTGATAGCCCTTCCAGCATTTTCACAGGTAAGTCAGGTTTAGAGACTACGATCTACCATAGTGTAAGTATTCCCACCCATTCTCACTCCAACTCAGAACATGTTATGTCCTTTCCCCCCATATCTCCTACATTCTCAAAAGCATAAATCAGCCATTGCAGGAGGGATTGTCTCATCCGTACCATCCGCAGGACAGGGACACATGGCAGCCTCCAGGGTAAAGCAAAGGGAGGGTGTATGGTGCTTAAAGCTTCTGTACGCCCAACCCTGAAAAGCAAAGCTTAGGTGGTATGTAGAACACATGCCTAGTATATGTGTTTTGTCCCCAGCTGGCACAGGCACAGCCTCCTCAGAAAGCGTCGACCGTTGTGTGAGAGAACATTACAAATGAACCTCATGTGGCAACTAATGCTTCCCACCCTGGTACTTCTTTACTGGAAAAAGTCAATGTATAAATTTCTAAAAAGCTCATTCTCACCCTAAAATTTCTTGAGGGTATAATAAGCTTTGATATTGAGGGCCTACTAAGAAAACAGATCGGAAAGTTATGGTAAAAAATCTAAACAAGCTGGTGCACAGAACACAGGTTTGACTTTGAGCCTTCAATTTTGCGTAAGGTGGACCCAGAGGTGTTTGCTGCTCTTCCACCTGAGCTTCAGAGGGAGCTGAAAGCAGCATATGATCAGAGACAGAGGCAAGGAGAGAACACTGCACACCAGCCTGCAGCAGGCACGTCTGGTAAGCCTGAGAAGCCGGAGGAAAATGAAATCCTGGTTTTTAAGTGTAAAGTGGTCAGGGCCTAAGCTTTTGTCCTATTTTCATCATACTAGGAAAGTAAAACAGGCACTAACTGGGTAAAGTAGCATTTTGTTTTTAGTTTCTTAAACCCAGGTATTACAGAAATCTTTTTCAAGAAGATTGTCTTTTGAGATTGATACGTTAAGGCTGTAGATTTGAAAAATGAAATTTTCTGAACATGCATCACCGAATGTAACATTAGTGACCATTTATGTTAATACCTGAACTACTGTACTCTCATTTAATCCTTATGAGCATCCTGTTACGTACACAGTGTTCCAAAGGTCAGATTATAATTTGCAGAGCAGGGGTGATAGTATCAACATTTTGCATTATCTTGGCAAGGTGAGGGGCCAGAGTGCTAGTATAGTCGGTAGGGCATTTGCCTTGCATGGTGTGACCCAGGTTCAATTGCCGGCCTCCAGTATGGTCCCTCGAAGCACCAACAGCAATAATTCCTGAGTGCACAGCCAGGAGTTAACCCCTAGTTAAGCATCAAAAAAGAGTCCTTTGGGATAAGAAGGGACCATTATGACAAAGATCGTTGGAAACGATCACTCTGGATAAGAACTGTGTGCTTAAAGTCGATAAAGGAACAAACGTGGTAACCTCTCAGTATTGGTTGCAAAACTGCCCAAGAGAAGGGGGAGGGGTGGAGAGACAAAGAGATAAACGTCTGCCATAGAGCCATAAATGCCTGGGGAAAGCGGGGTCATTGGTGGTGGGAAATGGACACTGGTAGAGGGATGGGTGGGTGTTAGATTAATGTATGACTGAAACCTGATCATAAAAAGCTTTGTAACTATGGTTACTCAATTTTAAAAAGCCTTGGCAAGGTGTCTGTAGGTGTGGTATGTGCACAGGAGTTGGATTCAGTAGGATAGAAATCCATTACAAGGGTGATGGATTTGTTGAGCATCTATCTCCATCTTTTTATAGTGCCCAAAAATCCATTACTTCAGCTAAAACCAGCAACAATGAAAGAGAAGAAAAGAAACAAGAAAAAGAATCCCATCAGTCCTTCGAAAAGGGTTCAGAGCCCTCTGAAAAACAAGATGCTTAATAGTCCTGGAAAACTTCTACCTGGGGCCTATGAGAGTCCCCAGAAGTTAATTGATGGATTTCTAAAGCACGAGGTTCCAGTATCTGAGAAACCTCTGGTAATACTTTTTATACTGAAAACTTGCTTCTTCTGATTAGATTTCAATACATTAGACCTTATATTAATAGTGCATTTTTTGTTTTACAGGAAGAGGCTTCTGCCTGTACATCGGGTGTGCTAAGTCTTTGTGACATGCAGCCTGACCCTTCTAGCTGTGTGAGACCCTTGCCACCCAACCTAGCTGGAGCTGTGGAATTCAGTGATGTGAAGACCTTGCTCAAAGAGTGGATAACTACTATTTCAGGTTGGCATCACAAAGCTGAAGAATGAGATGAAAATGGGCACATGGTTTCAGAACAGACACAACTAGGTGGAACTAGTTTTCCTAAATCCAACTTTCAAGGTCTGGCAGTAGGGTTTTCAGACCTCACCCTGGGACTGGTTTTCAAAGTTCCTTACACAGCCCATTCATTTGATAGCTGTCAGTCAGAGATCTAGTTTAGAAGTCTGGTTTTTCCATAACCAAATAATCATTTAAAATGTGCACATGGGACTGGAGAGAGTACATGGCTTACCATGATTTGGTTCCCTGAGCACACAGCCAGGAGTAAGCTCCGAGTGTCACTGTGTGTCCAAAACAGGACTGAAGTAAGAAAGGCAAGCATCTATAGTCTTCTCAATGAACTGTGCTGTAACAAATGTGTGGGGTGCTGCAGGGGACAATTGGGGGAACAGCTAGGGTCAAAGGTGAGCTCCTGAGACTTGACCCATGCAGACAAACGGTAGGCAGCCCCTCCCCTGGCAGAGCCCCCGACTTCCCGGCAGTGATTTCTCCCTCCTTCCTCAAACAACTGGATGCAATATCCAGTCACTATGTCTAAAAAAAAAGTCAGGGATCACTGGGCAACCTAATTGCCAGCCAGCCAGGAAAAGTGAGGAACCAGAACAACCTGATACTTGGTGTCCATCCATCCATTGTTCTCCCTTTTCTCTGAAAGTATATAAACCGAAGCCTGTTTGCAATAAAATGAGTGTTAAAAGTCTGGTTTTTCCTTTTTCCCTGGAGATCTGCCTTTTTCCTTTTTATAGATTGGGTCTCATTTGAGCATTTTCCCCCCACCCCCTTTCTTAGATCCAATGGAAGAAGACATCCTTCAAGTTGTGAAATACTGTACTGATCTAATAGAAGAAAAAGATCTGGAGAAACTGGATCTAGTTATAAAGTACATGAAAAGGTAATTTTTTTATACAATATACCAATGAAGGGGCAGGAGACAGTGAGCAAGCTAGTTTTCTATTGTTCTTGTTAATCTTGAAAAAGATGCCCTTTGAAACTGGTAGTCAGTGCACTGTTCCTCACTCCAGAGCTTTAACCATAGGAAATACTTTTGAGTGTTGAGTATTTATGAGAGTCCATCTCATAAATCATAAAACCATGTAAAGCCTGTAAAACTATTCAAGGAATCCCTCTTCCCTCATGCTGTTTCTTCTTTTCCTACCTTCAGGTTGATGCAGCAGTCGGTGGAATCGGTTTGGAATATGGCATTTGACTTTATTCTTGACAATGTTCAGGTGGTTTTACAACAAACTTATGGAAGCACATTAAAAGTTACATAGTCAGGGAGCCTGGTTCTTTCTGCTAGCTGTGCCATAAGTGCTTGTGAGGTATTTGCAAAGTGCATGATAGTAATGCTGAGTTTTTTATATTTAATTTCTTTTTAAGCGTTTTGTACATTTCTTTTAAATAAGTGCCAAATTTGTCAGTATTGCATGTAAATAATTGTGTTAATTCTTTTACTGTAGTATAGATTCTATTTACAAAAATGTTTGTTTATAAAGTTTTATGGATTTTTACAGTGAAGTGTTTACAGTTGTTTAATAAAGAACTGTATGTATATTTTGTACAGGCTCCTTTTTGTGAATCTTTAAACTGAGGGTCAGAGACTAAAATGCATGCCTTGCATGCAGCCAACCCTGGTTTGAGTCTCAGCACTATATGGTGTTCCCTGCTCAGCTGGTGAGGAATCTCAGGGAGATGGCACCCTCAAAAAAGCAGCAATTGAAAGCTTATTGTAGGTTATAAAACCTCCAAGCTGGACTACTATATAGGCTTCATGTTAATCTTTGACATTCCTGAGGTCCTATAATGGGATCATTTATTCTGAGCAAGAATAATCTCGTCCCCAAGCATGAACACAGAAGCTTATTATGAAAATCTTTACTTTTCCCAAGTGGAATTTATATACTTGAAATTAGAACAAACACACAAAATTGTTTTTCCTGAAAAATTATGTCCCACAGATTTAGAGGTGTACTTTTTGCCTCTACTGGCCCTTGAGAAACTTCAATGCTACATATTTTCAAATGCTTCGAAGGTATTTTTCTATGTTATGTCGTAACACTTTAAAAATATAGTTTATAAGAGTAAGCCAGTGAGTACTTGTAACCCCCCACACTGACTTGAACACCGCGCTATAAAAACAGGTAGATCTTCTCATATGCTAGAGATGTTAGAAGAATTAATATCACTAGTAGATTTCTCTACATTGGGGGAAGGGATATATATATGTGTGTGTGTATATATATATATACACACACACACTGAGTGGACCCACATTCCTCATGAAAAATCAAATTGCTACTAAAAATAAATCACTATGTATATTCTGCAACAACTTAAAATGTACTAAAGTCATAGCTAATTACTGATTGTCTCATCAGAAAATGCATGTGTGGTAGAATTTTGTAGGTAAAACTAGTGTTTACGTGTACTAGAATATAATGTATGAGAATTTAGAAAATTTTGTCCTTAGAAGAGTGCACAGTACCGAGGGTGTTAAGTCATGGTGGAGAAGCTACTCTAACATGGAAGCCGACCAGAACTGACTGGCCAATGTCTGTTTCCTTTATTGGTAGTTCAGAATTGTGCTGATTACAGTGGACTCTCACGACTATACAAGCAGTAAATAACCAGCTATGCTTTACACCATGGTTTCACAGAAAGCAGATAAATATCAGAGTGCCTAATTTTCTATTTAAAAAAATTCTAAGGGCATATGGCATAAGAATGCTGGGGACTGGGGAAGTCACTGTGGGAAGGATATACATAAATAAAGAAGTTATTTCTTACATCAAAATAGTCCCAAGAATCACAAAGTCTGCAGAAGCTTAGTTAATCAAATACTGCAGTACTGATTTAATCAGTATAAAATCGAAAGAGCTTTAGATCTGTAATAAAAATCCAATTTAGGGGGGATGGGCAAACTTTAAAACAGCAGCCAGTAGAGAAAGGTAGGGAGAGAAGTAGGTAATGAACAGGCACCTTGGAACTGTGGGGACATGTAATTGACCACTGTCAAACCAGTGTAATTTTCTTGGTTTCTCATGGAAAACATTTTATACACCTATTTTTTTTCCTTTCGTTCTTAAGTTCATCAGTGTCCAGGTACATCCTTTTCCATTTTGCATTGTTTTTGTTGGTGAAATCACAACATAATCTTGCGCTTATTCCAATTCCTGCCCCAAGTGGAAAAATTAGATGATTTCAAATACTTTCTTGAGCTCCACGATAAGCTGCCAGTCACTCTTCTGCATTTCATCTCTGAACCAGTCTTTGAGGGCGTCAATGGACTGCCGGCTGATCTGCAAACCCCAAGGCATAAAAAAGTAAATAATATAGCAAATCAAAGAAATGCATGTGGCCCCAGTCTGGCACCAGATGTTCTCACTACTGGAGAGAAAAGCAGCTTGTAGCCTTCCTCTCGGAGCACAGTCCCAGCACTGGGCTTGTGTTCCCTCAATACAAAGTTTATTGCTGAGATGCTTACCTTACTAACAAGGATGTCTGTGGCTTCAAAATGTCTTCCATACATTTTGGGAGATTCACCAGGAATAGGTTCTATTTTGACACAGACTTCTTGTCCCTTTTTTGCAACATCTACTTGTTTGTGGTTTATTTCAATACTTGTTACTATTCCAATATCAACAAACTGTAAAAATAAGAACAGAAATAACAACATGTAAAAAAAAAAATTAATCATGGCTACCTTAATTAGAAAGCAGAAATAAAAACTGCAGGACAGCCCAGTTTGTAACAACTTGCCCTGGTACTTTATCACTTAACTCTCCACAGTGTCACTAAGCTTTGGAAAACTTATAAAGTGCTGTTGAACCACTGTAGCTTTTCTGTTCTGCTCTACTCTTTCACATGACAGAGGCTATGTCATAGAAGAGAATGGCAGGGATAAAGCAGTTAGTTCAGGAGTGGGACCTTGTAGGCAATGATAAATAACTACAGCCGGTGAACTGATGAATGGAGAAGATACACTTTGCATTATCATTGCATGCTAACTTTCTTAGTATATGGCAAAGTAAGGGATATGGTGTTCGTTTCTCTGAGACTTTTAAAATAGTAGATGCCACTAATCCAGAGCATCCCTACTGAAGCACCTGTATCTTAAGCTACCTAAAATAAGGAGCACTGTTACCTAGAACTGTTAAGGATAAATTCTGTTAAGATGACAGGTTCTTTGGGAGTGATAACAGCTCTGTAAAATACACCCAGAACTTACATTTTTGCTAGGGACGCACATGGGTGTCCCCTGTTTCACCTGACCTGCTTCCACAGTCACTCCCATCACTATTGGATCTCGAGAATTGAAAATAAACTGAGGGAGGATTTTCATCTTGCAAGGAAATACCGCTATGTGCCTAAAAAAAGAGAAGACCCAAGAATTTTTAGGCTTAAAAATTTTAAACCTAAATAGAGGCTGAAGAGATAGTACAGTGGATAGGATGCTAGCCTTGTACTCAACCCACCTGGGTTTGGTCCCCATATAAAAAAACCCTGAGCATTGCTGGGTGTCGCCCAAATAAAGTCAATAATCTTTACGTGTTTGACTTCAGGTTTTACAATCTCTTAATATAATCCCTGGTATTTCCCAGTCAATTCTACTTTTAAGACATCCCAAATAGAACAATGACTCCAGATAAGAGTCATGAGTAGTGCCTCTTGTCGGGCTTTTATTACCAACCCACTGCCCTAGCTATGGAACCTACTTTCTTTGGTTTCATTTTATTTTAAGGAGGGGTGCACCACACCCAGCAGTACTCAGGGCCTACTCCTAGTGGGCTGGAGAAACCAGGAATTGAGGGGTCTGGGAATTGAACCCTGGAAGCCGAGGCAAACTCCTTAGCCGTCGTATTATCACTTCAGCCCCCATTTTCTGTTATTGCAACCAAGCTGACTCTGGTTCCCCAACCTCTAACCCTAGCTCTGTTGCCCGTGCTGTCCTGCCGACTTACTCCCCACGTATCTTGAGGCTCACCTAATTTTCTGCATCTCCAGCCATATAGGTACATCCTTTGGTAGACAGGCCAATGCCATGTACCCACTGTTTACACACCTCACTGCTATTTGTATTTCTCTAAGAATCGACTTCACTGCTAAAGACCTGGAGTAAATAAAAATCACCAACTTACTTAAATTCTTCTTGTTTTTGTTTCTTGTAATCTTGTCTGTATTTCGTAAAGGCATCAAATAAATGATAAATTATTTCAGCACTAAAAATTCTAACTCCTAAACTGTCAGCCATTTCTTGTGCATCCCGTTCGATTCTCACATCAAATGCCAAAATTACTGCGTATCTGAAAGTTTGAACATATCAAAGATCATTTCAAGAAAAACATATTTGTGAAAGAAATTACCTTGTAAAAGAAATTACTTACTGAGGGTCATGTTCCAACATCACTGAGGCCTTCATGACATCTTTTTTATGGACTGGGCCGATGTTAATTCCTGCATACTGTAAAAAAGGATTTTTATCTTTAATTGCTTGTATCAAGTGACACTGCCACAAATGATTTGTGGAGTTGGGTAGGATTACTTACGGGCACTTCTGATGTTTTCAAAAATTCAAGCAGAGCTTCCAACGATCCTAGTGTAGATGCCTGGACGTAGACCCCCTTTTCTTCTAATTTGATGGCATTAAGAGTCTGCTTTAACTCATGTATCAATTCATCCTTGAAAAGAAATATTTATGACAGTCACAAGCAGCAGCCTAGAATTAGAGTATTTCCTTCCTCTGAATTCCTCTGAAAACATGAAACCAAAGCTAGGAAAGACCAGGCTAACAATGCGCACTGGAATGAAGAAGAAAATGCAGGAACCCTATCTGAACCATATTCCACTTTATGTTTGTCTTAGTTTACTAGTTATAAAATATTTAATTTCTGTCCCATTTGGCAAACACAATAGGCAGCTGAGTAGAAAAGTACAAAATACTGCATAAATGTAGTACATTTTGCTTGCTCAAAGAAACTGGCTGTATGAAACATCCTATCTCATGATGGAGGCCTATTCTCCATCATTATTTCTCTGTAGATAAGATTCTGACTTAGATAAAACCACCATATCAATGTTAATTAAAATGCAAAAGTCCAAATTCTACTTCAGGTTGACCTTTTGTTACTGACTCTAAAGAGGCCAATTTCCTAAGGACAATAATGTGGTACTATTCAAAAAAAAATAATGGTGTTTCAGCACTCTTGATAAATTCATTAGGATCTTTGCTAGTATCATTAGTATCTTTGAACAAATAAACTGGCTCAAAGTTGGCTTGTGTGAAACCTGTGGTCTTGGTTGGTATCTACCACAGCAAACAGGCTTTTCATGAATCCTAGTAGCAAATAAAATTTTCTTTCGTTCTGTGTATGTATATGTATTAGAGTAAGAGTAGTGTGAATAGCTTCAAGCTTTTGACTAAATATATCCAAAAATTCTACTGTATATACTAGTTTATGTTGCACAAAATGAAGTTATTTCTGAGCCTTATTTCTTTACTAAGAGGGGAGACTTCATAAAGATGAAGTGCCCAAATAAATGATGCCCTATTTATTTCCTGTAGCTTATAGAGGGACTTATAGATAGAGCAGAATTCAAACTGCTTTGGTAAGAAAAAAGCAAACATGAAGATAACTTACTTTAAGAACTGGAATTTCATCTTCTTTATATGCCACAAGGAGTGGTAAACCAGCCAATGTTTTCTCCAGATCTTTTCCAAGAATCTTTACTCCCTGAGCTGCTTCTACTTCTTTGTGCTTTTCATACTGATTCTACAGAGATCAAAAAATGTGTTACCACCTTTAATTGTAAAGTATTAACATAAGAAATAATATAAAAATATTTTCACGAACTTGGGATAAGAAAGAATTTCTAGACACATACACAAAAATTATGAAAGAGTATTCATTTCAACATTAATACGAAACAGTTCTCTTTTTTCTTTTTTGCTTTTTGGGTCATACCCGGCGTTACACAGGGGTTACTCCTGGCTCTGCACTCAAGAATTACTCCTGGTGGTGCTCGGGGGACCATATGGGGTGCTGGGCATCAAACCTGGGCTGGCCGAATGCAAGGCAAATGCCCTGCCCACTGTACTATCGCTCCAGCCCCTGAAACAGTTGTTTCTCAACAGACAAGTATGTCGTAGAAGATGTTGCAGTACACAACAAACCCAACAGCCCATCCTGATTGTATGAACAACTCCCCTAAATCTTTAAAAATGATACACAATGCCAGAGGATATGAACGTTTCACAAAGGAGACCATTTAAATGGTACATAAAGTAATGATTAACCGTATTTTAATCGTGCAAGTGCAAGGTAAAGCGGGTAAACAATTTTTATTCTGAAGGCATCAAACAAATAATGTGAAATAATGTAAACTGAAAAATTGCAGTTACAAGTGTAACTTGGTACATTCGGTATAAACAATCATGTGACCTTGTTTCATAAAAGTGGAGCTAAGCTTAAGTAATGATCCAGTGTATTTACAGTAGAGGATTTTTATACTAAAAAAATAGTATAACTATGCCAGGAGATTAATACAACAAACAAAGCAATAAGATTGTCAATAACAGCAAATGTTTTTTGAACACTAGGCAGAGGTTACACTTCCTATGAACAGAACAGATAACCAGGACAATCATGCACAAAAATAGCTATAAACAACCACCAGCAAAATTATAACTCTTAAATGTTTTTTGAGCAAAACCAGATGAAAGGGAGGGACACTCTGGGAATGACTCTATGTACATATTTATTTTCAAAAGTGCACTCCAAAGTATTAATTTTTTTTGAAACAGTGGTATCAACTACTATCATAAAACTGTAAAAAGCATTATTAACTTCTAGGGAGGGGAAGAGAGGGACTCCAGGACCAGGCCCCGTGATACTTACCTGGTACAGCAAACATGATGCTTTGGTAGTCAGGCCCAGTGGTGCTTGGGGAGCCAGGGGCCATGTAGTATTGGGGATTGAACGATAGGTCTACATGTTAGCAACGTGCTCTACTACTTGAAATATCTCCCTGTCCCCATGTTCCAGTGTTTGATCTGGTTGTGTTAAAATATTCTACATATTTTGTTTTGCTGTCACACCTAGTGGTGCTCAGGGCTTACTCCTGACTCTGTACTTACTCCTGGCAGGTTAGGAACCATCTAGTGTTCTGTTCCGGGGATCTAACTCGGGTCGGCTGCATGCAAGTCAAGTGTCCTGTCTGCTATGCTATTACTTTGACCCCAAAGTATTCTATATTTTGCATACCTCACTGCACAAATGTTTTACTTCACAATAAAAAAAGGGCTGGAGTGACAGTACCGTGGTTAACGCAACTGCCTTGCATTCAGCCTGTCCTGGTTCTATCCCCAGCACCGCATTTGGTCCCCCAACACTGTTAGGGAGAGATCTTTGAGCTCAACGCTAGGAATATGCTCCGAGTAATACCACTTGTGACCCCAAAACAACAAAAGGAAAAACACAAAACAATAAAAAGTATTAATGAAATACTAGTTACCAATGAAGAAACAAAATTATTTCAATTAAAAAATACACAAGTTTAGTTGGCAAATAGGATCTTTCATACATCTCCACGCTAATAAAAACTCTTCCTCTATGAGAACATCTAAAATAAAACCAGGGGTGTGAAGGACTTTGTACGGGGCTTCAGCAACTCTGGGAAGGAAGTGGAACTTCGAAACCCTGTCCAAGTCCCAATGTTGACCAACCTACCGAGCACCATGACTTACCTTCACTCGCAATTCCTTCATAGGGGGAGGTAAGAGGAGGCCTCGGATCTGAGTTACAATGGGCCCTTCAACCCCAGGCACAATGATTGTATCTCCTTCCTTCAAACGCCCATTGATCAGTATCACGTCTATAGTGGTGCCCATTCCCGGGAGAGCTTTCACCTAGGAAACAGGATTATAACAGTCAAACACACACAATGCTCTGAAGTGATCAAATTCAAAAATAATAAATATTTCTAAAATCTGGTTTTTGAAAAATGAAAAGACTGAGAAGCTGCCATTACCTCCATGACCTGTGCCCTGAGCTCTTCACAGTGTGCAAGCCTCTTGCTCAACATTGTCTGAGTCAACTCAACGAGAAGGTAGATGAGACTTCCCATTCCATCCCCAGTGTGAGCAGAGGTAGGTACCAAGGACACAAAAGTGCGGGGATCTTTATTCTCATAAAACAGAGCTGCATTCAAGCCCTAGAAAGACAAAAAGCAAAACTCAAAAGCCAGCCTGTGAGTGAAGAAAGGACGAGCTAGACCTAGATTTTATAAATGGCTGATCATGCTGAAATAGCTCAGAAACATCATTACAAATATCACGCACAATCTGAATTCATAGCAAAATTCGTATTACTTTTTATTACAGAAAAAGCAGTTTCAAGTCAACTCTTTCTAAATTTCAACATAGAGATTAATCTTTGTAATGTCAGTGCTATTAGAAATGAAAGTGAGTAGGGGAAAAGAATGGAAAGCAGTAATTTGAAGACCAGAACAACATTAATAAAAATGTTGTCATTATACAGACAACGAAATAAAAGAAAATACAGGGTCTTAATAACGCAAGGGAAAGCTTCCTTACCTGCTGTGCAAATTCCACAATAATAGCCTTTGCTCTTTCCTCAAATTCATCTTTTGTATTCTTTTTCTGCTTTTTTAAAGTAGCAGCCACATCAGAGTCAGGACTCTTTTTCCAATCATACAATCTATCAATCTGGGGGAAAAGTGTTTTCATAATAAACATCTTAAAACCATTAAGGACATTTATGGATTTAAGCTTTGGAAAATTCCTACCGTATCTATCCAAAAGAGTATGCAGTTTATTTTACTGTACCAAAAGGTATTCTAATGCCCTGCAAACATGCACATCGTCAATCAGCAGCTGCTGCACACGTGGGTAGTTAAGTCTCCGACAGTTCACAAGGACCATAGAAATACCACAAGACCACTAACCCAGGTGTCAGAAATCTGAGATAGTTTTGGTCAAGCAGAAAACAAGAAGAGTGATTACCGTAAATTCCACCATCAGAGAAGCTCTATATCCACAACCCCCCAAACCCCGTATCTCAAAGAATATCACTGCTTTGATTTTAAATCATTACTACAATCAACATTAAATTCACCTAGCAAATTAAACAACTCCCCCCAATTTCAAAAGTGTATGGGTATGAGGGCAATTTGGCTGAAATCGCTGTCACACCCCACTGACTGAAGAACGACTGAGTGTTCCACTCAGGATGAGGTGTCCACTCCAACATCCTTCCCAGAGTTCTGGTATATTGCCCAAATAGAGTCAAAATCTAGATAAATGAAGGACACACAATGCTACACTAACAAAATGCCTAATTAAGCTAAATACATTTTATGGTGACTTTAGCTGTTGTATTTTATTTGAGATCGATGCTCAGGGGTTATTTCTGGCTCTGCACTCAGGAATTACTCTTGGTGGTGCCCCTGACACCATATGTGCAAGGCAGGTACCCGACCTGCTGTACCATCTTACCTGCACCGTTGAGTGATTTTACTAGTTAGTCCATTTCTACATAAACTCCTTCAGAAAATGAAGTAGGTAATACTTTTCAACTTATTAGACCAACAATGCTCTATTAAAATCGACAAAAAAATTAGCAAAAACTATACACTAAAATCACTATAATACAGATCAAAAAATCTTAAAATATAAGCAAATCAAATCCAGCCATAAAGGAAGCAGGGTTTATAGCAGAAATACAAAATTATTTTTTAAAAAATTTAGTCTCATATTATGTTTTTTATATCCATAAATGAGTCCAATCATTGTGTCTGTCCCTCTCCTTCTGACTCATTTTCACTCAGCATGATACTCTCCATGTCCATCCACTTTTAAGTAAATTTCACAACTTCATTTTTCCTAACAGCTGCATAGTAATCCATTGTGTAGATGTACCATAGGTTCTTTAACCAGTCATCTGTTCTCAGGCTCTTGGGTTATTGCCTCAAGTGCTGGAGAAGGCAGTTGGGATACAGAAAGAACCACTTTGATAGTTGGAAATGATCACTCTGGGTAAAAACTGCATGCTGAAAATAGGTAAAGGAACAAAGGCGGGAGGGAGAGAGATGGGGAGGGCGGAAGAGGGAGAGAGGGAGAGAGGAGAGGAGAGGAGAGGAGAGGAGAGGAGAGAGGATGTAGGGGAGGGAGAGAGGGAGAGGAAAGAGAAGGGGGGAGAGGAAAGAGGAGATAGAGAGAGCATCTGGTATAGAGACAAGCCCTTGGGAGGGAATCTGGGGACATTTATAGTCCTGAAACCAGTTCTGCAAGAAAGTTTACAGGAGTTTCTTTAAAAAACAAGGCAAACTTCTCAGCACTTGGGACAGAGTACCACATTCACTTAGTAAGTATTCTAAGTGTCAGAAATCTGAAATGGATTCATTAAGGTTTAGTTACTCCTACCTTGCTAAGGAAATTTACATTTTTTAAATATAAATTAACACTGACTTATACAAACTGTCCTATATCGGATCAGTTTTTTTTAAAGACACCCAGAAATCTTACTATAATCTTGGTTTATTAATGCAGACACTTAAGCAGTAAACATTATTTTCTAACATAGTCAATATACACTTAGGCTAAAAAGACACTTTACACTTTTATAGGTCTACTCAGATTTTCTCCTCAAAATGTCTGTACTTCTGCTCTTACTAAATTTTAACTTGTAAGTCTTACCTATTTCAACATAAATTTTAAAATATATTGGCACAAAATTATTCCTCTTTGAAAACAAGGTATGTAGTTTTATGGTTTTATTAGTTTAGCTCTGGGCATTGCGTGTGTGTGCGCGGGCGCATGTGTGTATGTGGGGCTGTCATAATCTCTACAATAAATTTAAAAAACATAGTAAGGAAATGACATATGATCAAAATTGATGCTGGAGGTACTGTCTATAGAACTGAGTTTACGTGAGGGAGGTCCTGAGAGGAGCAGCCTAGGAAGGACCCTTGGAACAGGTGGATGGAAGCGGGCTCTCTGCTTATGGCGAGATATTGGAAGGATGGATGCAAGAAGAGTATAACTAGTAGTATTATAAATCCTGGTACCTTCATAAAAATGGTTTTAAAAAGTGCCAACACAAATGCTTGTCTGGAAATGTTCATGGTTGCTTCATTAGTAATCTAAAACTATAATCAGGGTCAGAAAGGTAATATATAAGGTCGCGCCAGACCTGGGCTCGATCCCTGGGACCCCAGATGACCTCATGAGCACCACCAGGAGTGATCCCTGAGCAGTGCCAGGAGTAAACCCTAAGCACCACCGGAGGTTGTTTCCCCACTCTGCCTCAAAAAATAGAATCAGTACAAATGTCCTCAAAAGATAAAAGGAGATGAAGTATAATTTATCCAAATAATACTTAGTAATAAAACAGACCTGGTATTACATGCGGTAACATGGATAAACTTTATAAGCAGTGAAAATCGCCAAGGTTTTTTTTTTTTTTAGCACCACATGTTATTTAATTCCATTAATCTAATACTATAAAACACTGTGACAGCAAGACCAGTCTGTGGTCAGACCAGAGCATTGTACAGTGGTAAGGTACTTGTCCTGCATGTGGCCAACCTCAAGTTCCACCCCCAGCATCCCCTACGGTCCAGCCCACTAGGATGAATTCCTAACTGCTGAGCCAGAAGGACTGAGCATCACCAGGTGTGACCCAAAACGAAACAAAAAAGGGGGGCGGAGGGACATTCTAGGAATACAGCAATGATTTCTATGCTAAATGTATAAATATGTCAGAATAATCTGAGCCCAAGAGATATTTCCAGGAGACAGTTCCAAGGCTAGAATGCTTCACATTTGAAGGCCTGGGTTTGATGCCTTGGCAGTCACACCTCATGCTTCCCCAGGACACTGCAGGGAGGGACTCCCAAGCAGCAAGCCAGGGTAGCCCTTGAACATCATCAGGGCTACTCCAAACAAAAGAAATACACTGAATTGTATATTTGAGATGAGTGCCTTTAAAAAACGAAGTCAATTAATTTTTCAATCACAAACCATAAAGAAGCTAAATGAATTTCAGAGTCAAGTTTTTAAGGCACACATACCTTATTGAGTGCAACAATGAAGGGACACTTTTTAGATTTCAGAAGGTTAATAGATTCAATTGTCTGAGGTTCCAAACCATGCATAATATCAACAACTAGAATAGCAATATCACAAAGAGAGCTTCCTCTATTTCTCAGATTACTGTTGAAAAGAGAAAAAGGATGAATAAAAACATTATAGTTTAAATAAGACTTAAATACTTGAAAAGCACAATAAGTCCTTAACTTGACAAGTATTTTTCTTACAGTGAGTTGACATCATTTGGGGCAAGTTAGTTTCAGAAGTCACTCCAACGTTTCTGCAATTTAACTGGCAACATTTTTTTTCTTTAAAAATTTTATTTAATCACCCTGAGATAGTTACAGGCTTTCATGTTTGGGTTACAATCACACAATGATCAAACACTCATCCCTCCACCAGTGCACATCCCCCACCACCAATATCCCCAGTATGCCCCCTCTTTCCCACCCTCCCCTGGCCTCCATGGCAGACAATACTCCCCATTCTCTCTACTTTTGGGCATTATGGTTTGCAATACAGTGAGAGGGTATCATGTTTGGTCCTTTATCTACTTTCTGCACACATGTCCCATCCCGACCGGTTCCTCAAGCCATCATTTTCTTTGTGATCCCTTCTCCATTCTAGTTGCATCCTCCCCTTTGCTCATGAGACAGGCTTCCAGCTATGGAGCAATCTTCCTGTCCTGTGTATCTACTATCCCAAGGTGTCAGCCTCATATTATGTAACTGGCAACATTTTTTGCACTGACAAATATGGCAAAAGGGGCAAAAGATGAAACTCTCCCCATAATGGCTTTCATAGGCAATTAGACCAATTATAAAAAAGAATTTACTTTTTCAAAGTAGAAATCACTTGTCTTTAAAAACCAGAAATATCCAAATAAATACTAACATTAAAGTATCACGTTATAGATGAGGATCAGTAATTATAAGAAACCAAAACATTTCAATACCCCAAAACTAATCAGACCTATTTAATTCACTGAATTTTAGACAGATTTCAAGTATTTTGCTTGATGACAAAAAAAAAAATCGAACTGCTCCTACCTGAAAGATTCATGGCCTGGAGTATCAATTATCAACATTCCTGGAATCCGTACATTTTCTCTATCAAACTAGAAAAGATAATAAAGAGCTTTTAAAAAAAAATCTTTATAAAACACTGTCACATCAAAATTCAAAGATTTCACCCTTTTCCAAATGAAGTTTTAAAACATAACGGTAAGTCAACTAGAATAGCACAGCAAATAGTATTTTCAGTATCATCCAAAGTGCTACCAAAAAATACAGAAACTACTATTTTTAAAAAGTCCCTTTAAGAAGGTCATAAAAACCATGGCAGCACAGCGGGTAGGGCGTTCGCCTTACAAGCGGCCAACATGGCCGACCCGAGTTCGATTCCTCTGCCCCTCTCGGAGAGCCTGGCAAGCTACCGAGAGTATTCGATATGCCAGACACAGTAACAACAAAGTCTCCAATGGAGATGTTACTGGGCCCGCTCGAGCAAATCGACGATCAACGGGAGGGCCTTTACCTTTACCATTTTAAAAACCATCGCATAGTCTAAATTTGAGCAGAATATTTACTAATAAATGGCAGACCAGTCCTCTGAAAGTGATTCTCTAGAAAAAGTTGAAACGATATTTGAAAAATTTATCCAGTCCAATTTTAAAGAAACCTTTCTGGAGGGAAAAAAGAGATGTTTTAAAAACATTTACTACATCTACTTAAAATATTGAACAATAAAATAATCCGGTTTATTTAAATATCACACCACATTTAAATATCATCTCACACCACAGAGTATGGCATACATCAAAAAAACCAAGAACAAATAGTGCTGGAATGGATGTTGTGAGAAAGAGATTCTCATTCATTGTTGGTGGGAATGCCCACTGGTCCAGTCTTTTGGGAAAATAATATGGTCATTTCTCAAAATACTAGAAATTGAGGTCCCATTTGACCCAGCAACACCACTTCAGGGAATATATCCTGGGAGCCCCAAAACAAACAGCAGAAATGCCCTCTGCATTTCTATGTTCACTGCATCATTATTCACAATAGGAAAAATCTGGAAACATCCTGAGTGCCAGAGAACAGATGACTAGATAAAGAACTATGGTATATCTACACAAAGAAATACTACACAGATGTTAGGAAAAATGAAGAAACGACATTTGCTTGTAAATGGATGGACATGGAGATCACCATGCTAGTCAAATGAGTCAAAAAGTGGGAATTGAAAAAGCATAATCTGAGACTAATACCCAATGACAGTAGAAACAAAGACAGAGACAGAGACAGAGAGGCAGACTGGGGCAGGGGTAGGTGGGGAGCATGGTAGGAAAGATTGGTGGTGGGAAATGTACACTGGTGAAGGAATGAGTACTGGATCATTCTATGACTGAAACCCAATCATGAGTAACTGTAACTGTCTGTCTCATGGTGATTTAATTAAAAAAATTTAATTACAAAATGAAAAAATTAAGTATCAAACCGCAAACACTTAATTGATCAGGCAAAAGTATACAAACATTAAAACATGACAGAGGTTCTTTTTTAAACCTAAATAGCAATAATTAATTCTCTCAGACACATAAAACTACTTTCCTTACCTATATTTTTGACAAATCCTCAAATAATTTTTTTAATTAATTTTTATTAGTGAAACACCATGAGGTACAGTTGTAGATTGACAAATTTTTGTGCTTGGGTTTCGATTATACAATGATCAAATACCCATCCCTCCACCAGTGCCCATTTTCCACCACCATGGATCCCAGTAATCCTCCCACCCCCACCCCCCATCCCACCCTGCCTCTGTGGCAGGGCATTCCCTTTTGTTCTCTCTCTCCTTTTGTGTGTTGTGGTCTGCAAGAGGCATTGAGTGGCAATCATGTTCGGTCCACTGTCTACTTTCAACATGCATCTCCCATCCTGGGAGAATCCTCCAAACACCCTTTAATCCTCAAATAATTTTTCAAAGTTATCACCTGACCCCTATGTCAAAATGACTCATGCAAAACAAAACATTTCAAATTTTTACTATATTAAATCAACAGCGGTAGGGCGTTTGCCTTGCACGCAGCCAACATGGCCGACCTGAGTTCGATTCCTCTGCCGCTCTTGGAGAGCCCAGCAAGCTACCGAGAGTATCTCGCCCACACAGCAGAGCCTGGCAATCTACCCGTGATGTATTCGATATGCCAAACACAGTAACAACAAAGTCTCCAATGGAGATGTTACTGGGCCCGCTCGAGCAAATCGATGAACAATGGGAGGACCATGACAGTGACTAAGCACAATTATGACTTCTACTTTAGTGTCTAGAATAAAAGCAATATAATTATCATATATTTAATAGCTTTAATACAGGGCTAATAAAAATCAAGCTTTTAAGTTATCTTCTAAAATTATAAATAATCGGATTTTAAATTTGGCATCTGGCATAAAACTCCTCCAACACAAAGAAACACCCAATTTTTAAAAAGCTTTAACAATATATTTGAAGAATTGCACTTCAAGAAAACTTTAAAAAGTAAAGATTAAACCAACCAAACACCGAAATGGGATACCACATAACTGGAAAACTGACCTGGAACAGCCAGCATTAAGGGGGGGGGGGGGGGGAATCCATCTTACCCCCCCCCCCCCCCCCCCCCGAGAAAGGCCACATCCAGCGGTCTTTGGCATCTGTGCTTGGGGATGCTCCTAATGGAGCTCAGAGAACCATGCAGTGGAGAGGACCAAACCAGGCCACCCGCATGCAAAAGCATGCTTTAGATGCACTCAGCCCTCTGAGCTACTTCTCTGTGCCCTATGTTACTTTTCAAGAGGCTGAAATTAGCTTCTGATCAAACCAGAAAGACAACTGTTTATGTGAGAAAAAAGGAAAAAGAAGAGTATCATTTTATATACTTGGAATGTGAACTAAGGATTTATACATAGACATAAATTTCCAAAACAAAGATCATAAATAATCCTTCAGTATTCAAAGAATTCTATAAATATCATTCCCTATATTCCTTCCTTAGAGATCTACCAGAAAATAAACCTTACAAAATACGAACAAAAATTTTAAAAAACACAAACAAGAAAAAAAGAACAAACAAAGTAAGGTCAGGAGAAAACAAACACACATCACAAAAACACGAATTCAACAGCAACAGAAAAATTCAAGAGACAAACCCAGAGACCATTCTACATACAAAAAAAAAGATGATAAAAGATTTAAGAATGTATTAATATATGCTCTATCAGTGAAAATTTATTGTTTCTCATTTCCAAATTTCCTACTTGCACCTGCAGTGTGGTAGCACTGTAGCACTGTCCTATTGTTCATCTATTCTGGCTTTCCTATACAGACTAAATACATACAAAAGAACATACATTCATGCCTATAACATAAAAAATAACCAAACAGATAACAAAGACTTTATTAAAGTTATGCAATAGGGCAGGAAGGATAGCACAGTGGGCAGCGTGCTTGCCTTGCATGCAGTAGACCCAGGAACAATCGCCAGCATCCTGTATCCCTTCCCCACTCCACCCTCCACAGCACAGAAACAGGACTAAGACCTGAGCACCACTGGGTGTGACCCCAAAACAAAACAAAAAATCCAATAAATAAATATGGATAATAGAATTAGGAGTATTAGTACTAACACTTTTAAAAGAAAGATATTACTTTGGAAGTTACTTCTGTAATGGAGAGATGGCTTAATGGGCTGAGCATGTATGAAACGCGCTTTGCAAGCAGAGATCAAAGTTCACTCCCTGCACATTTTCTTCCAAGAACTGCCAGAAAACCCTCCCAGCACAGAGCTGGAGTAATTTCTGAATACAACAGGATAGTAGCCAAAAAATAAGACCCATTCAAAAATGTGCTTGAGTGAAGAAGGAGGCTCTGACTGGAAAGAAGCATTGCTGTTTTTTTTAGGAAACCAGCAAGGTTTTGTCACCTAACATAGTTGACACAAAAGGTGTTTGCTTCAGACCAATGTGTTAAGCTTCCTAAATTTCCATATTAATCCTTTTTTGTTATGTTGCTGGAGGGGGCCCAGTAATGTCTCCATTGGAGACTTTGTTGTTACTGTGTCTGGCATATGGAATATGTCAAGGGGGTTATGTTAAGCATAAATAATTTATACCAAAGTAGAAAAAGAAAAGGGAGATAAGGAAAATGCAATCAATTAAAAAATGGGGAGGGATCAAAGTATTTTGATCTACTTGTTTTGTTCTGTGGCCACTCCTGGCTCTTTCAGGGATCCCTCCTGGCATTAACTGGAATCCAACCCAGGCAAATGCCCTATCTGCTGTATTCTTTGGCTCAAGGGAACAAGTTTTCTTTTACACAGAGATCTATGGAAAAAAGTATTGAATACAAAAAGAACTGACAGTCTAATTTCAGAATGGTGACTGTCTCTTGGAGTAAGAAGGAAGAAAATAGCATGTGAAAGCTCTTACAACTAAGATGTTGTATCTCTCAAATAATAAGGTCTGAGACACACTCAATCTAATCAGACAAATTGTGAATGTTCTTGTGAACGAAGCCAATTAGACCTGAGACACAGTACTCGTTTCCTTGATCAGTATCATTTGTATCTTAGCTTTTGATAGACATTAGGAGCTAAAACACAGTGTACTTACATTTTTAATCATCTTAGTCTGTTCATTGATAGCTTCAAGAGGAACATTGGTAGCCCCAATCTGCTGTGTGATACCACCTGCTTCACCATCTTGTACATGTGTGTGACGAAGCTGAGACAAGAGAACACAATTTTGAAATGCAAAATGCAAAAGCAGTAAGTAGCAACATTTGCTATGAAAGTACTTTTTATATATAACATAGCTATCTAATATCAATCTAAAAGGTATCACACAATAATGAATTTTAAATATACTACTTAAAATGTATCAATGCCTACAACAGTTACTTACTTTATCTAGAATTTTTGTCTTTCCTGTGTCCACATGTCCAAGTACACAAATGACAGGAGCTCTCAGCTTTTCTGTATTTACATTTTTACTATGTTCAAGTCGCCGTTTCTAGGGATAAGGAATTTTTTTAATCACAAAAATGAAATACTATTTCAAATTTTATCGTCATTATTTTTCTTTAAATTATTTTTGCCTTGGTAAGGGAATGCGATAACCTGTATTGCACATATTTATTGATTTAATGACATAATTTCATTTTAGGATGTCAGAAATGTACCAAATTAGGAGAGCTGTTTAGAGTGGATTTCAACATAGCACTGTTAAAGATGATTAGAAAGGGTATAAAAGGGCAGGGAAATAGCTCAAGACTGAAGCTTGTGCTTTGCATGCTGGAATCCTGGATTCAATCCCTAGAACCACACACTGTGGCACTTCAAAAAGCAAAAAAGAACGGTGCAGGGCAATGACTAAAGTTTCTGAACACATACAAGGATGACGAATTTAATGGAATATAATGAATACCAAAGGACTTATTTTGTCATATTATACAAAATAGCCTCTATGCCATATGATATTAAACTGTAATTTTAAACATTCATTGGAACTGTAGAAAATTTTATTTCAAAACTACTCAGTTACAGAATTTTTTAAGAAATTTCAATTAAAAAACGGTTCAATGAAGAGTCAGACCACAATTCTCTACCCTTTGGAAGCTATTTCCAATATACCACCAAGCATGAGAGAACTTTTCCTTGCCTGAATAATTACCATTTTCATAAATACTTTTAGCTTTCTGACACCCAATCAGGAACTCAGGGATAGCTCAGTGGCAGTGAGTGCCTGTTTTATTAAACGCCCCATGTTGTACGCCTGTGCCACGTGAGGCCCCAGCACATCTCCTGTCTGGGAACCCTGGCACTGGTACTACAAACAGTTGTGTGCAAATAACGCAATGGAGGTGTGGCCTGGGGAGCACAACAACTTGAAAAACACGCAAGCCTGGCAGTGGACAGTTAAGCACCAAAACCAGACTTTGTGTCCTCTCACAACGAATACAACCAAATGTGTTTATGATGACGCCTCTGTCAGCACAACAAGTGTATGGAAAGGAGGGGAAATGTGCCAGAAGTTCTCTGAAACAACTTTTCAAGCAAAGTGAGTATTTATAGGAGACAAAATCTTCAACACTCTGAAAAAAAAGTCGCTGTTAAAAACAGTCTCTTCACAACAAAGTAGATGGCAAAAAAGGTCAACATTTCCAGGGCTGGAAAAAAAATCTCAACTTATAGTAGATCTTCTTAGTTCTTTAAATACTTGAGAAATTTTTACTCACCAGACTTTATGAAAGGGAAAGATAAGCAAGACAGATAGATAGTAAAAATTTTTTTTGAAAAATTTAAATGATTTAAAAGATAAAGTTAAAAACATTTTAGCTTTAAAACAGTTTGCATGCTAACATAAACTCAAGTAGTTATTCACGTGTTTATGCTAAGCTGACAAAATTACATAGTTGTAACTTTGAAATATTGTGCTCTACCAATTAAACAGAAAAATACAGTAGCTGGGTAGATATCTAAACTTTACGAAACCTCACTGACTAATCAAATTAAATACTTAAGTTATAAGATGCCTTAATACTGAGTATTAAGTATCACGTATTAAATATACAAGTATTTAAAGTATTACATTATAAATAGTTTTATAATTAGAGTGCATATGCTCGGAGTATTCATGCACATCTTTAAATTAACAAAGAACAAAGTAAAATAAAAATAAAAATTGATGAAAACAGTGACCATTCTGATTTGATAAGGAGCAAGTTTGCTAGATGAGACCAGACTCATAGACCTATTATTTCTGTAGTGTCTCAGCACTACAAAAACTGAACAAGATACTATGCACACACTTTAGCTGTAAGTATGAGAATAATGACAGAGGAGTGAATGAAGAGAAAGAAATTATAACTACCTCAATCCTTCGCTTCGCTTTGTCATAAGCCCTTTCTTCTTTGGTTCGATCATCGTCAGAGTCATACTCAGATTCTGAGCTAATTTCTTTACTTGGCTTTTTGTCTAATGTTTTCCCCAAATCCTTTTCATCTGAAACTTTTTCGTCCTCTTCATCACCTTCACTGCCTTCACTTTCTCCTTCCTCTTCCTCTTCCTCTTCACTCTCTTCTTCTTCCTCCTCTTCCTCCTCCTCCTCCTCTTCCTCCTCTTCAGGGTTTTCTTTTACTTCTATATGTACTGTGTTTCCTTCATTCAGAAAAACAAATTTTAAAATAAAGTTTAAAGTGAGAGGACAGCCTTAATCCCTGTACTATCTCTCTGACCTGGTAAGTCATATCTCAAATTTCGGTTTTATAGCTTCAATATAGGGAAGCTCTTTAAGAATGTAAAAGGTGTTTTTTGTGACTAAAATCTCCAGGTGTTCATTGAAGTCAGGATGGGCTACCTTCCCCACCACCCAGTACTTCCAGAAGCCCTGGTAGTCACGCCCATAAACACCTCTGGCTCATGGAAGCTTCTCTACTGGCCATGATCCAAAGACTCGGAAATAGATCTCAAGAGATCAAAAAGTCTCAGAAGATTTTCCCCAAGACCCGCACATGGCTGAGTCTTCCTGGGCACCCTGGAGTGGAGCAGGTCACTCCAGTGTCCGCCCAAATGGAGCCCCTGCAGCCAATTGCTCCCACACTCCAAAATGGCTGCCATGCCCCCCAGCCAGACTCCACTGCCTCAGGACCGGGCCTCATGTCTGGTGAAAAACAGGTATGCGGGTTAGTCACTGAGATCTCCAGGCTTTCAGTAGAGTAGAGTAGGCTACCTCATCCCCCTTCTTCCTGTACTTCCAGAAGCCACTGAAGTCACAGAAGGCCTACCCTATAACAACATCTTAGCAATCTCTTATGCAAGTACTTAAAGGCTTCATGATGAGACACAACAATTTTCACTAACTTTCTTCCAAGGAAACCTTTTTTGATCATTCTGTTAGCAAATTATTGATAATAAGCAATATAAAATAAATGGTTGATGGCCTGTTATTGGGGCAGGCTTAACAGGTGGTTGGAAAAATTGGAGACAACAGTGGAGGGAAGATGTAATGGTGGTGGGATTGGCATTGAAATATTGAATGCCTATAACAAATCATCCAAAATAACTTTGTAAACCACAGTGTTTATACAAAATGTAAGGGAAAATTTTACACATGCAGGCATGTGTAAAATTCACACAAGTAAATTTCAAAATATACTAACACAGATTTGCTTTAAAAGTTTTATTAATGACAGGTGAGACATGATTCTTGCCATAATGAAACCCAAGTATAAAATAGGATTTAATGTAATATGTTTTGGATCCCAGAGTTGAAGATAAATGTATCTTCAATGTAAATGTAAATTGAACAGGCACTTTTATTATAAATGGCTTTTATTTTCTTATTCACATAGATCAAAATCATATGGTAATCACTAACTGGCTCTTAATGATTTATTTTCTGATCATTCTATTTGCCAGTTCTTAAAGTTTCATTGGAATAAGTAAAATTAAGTAAATTTATGTGCCTAACGGTGTAAGTTGGGATCAGGAGAGAAACTAGTAATATTGGTGGAGAGATGGTTACAACTGCATGGTGTTGAAACACTACATGCTTGATACAAATGTATAATGAACAACTTTGTAAATCATTGAGTTTATAATAAAAATTTAAAGAAAAAAAGGAAAAGGATAGGAGTTAGCCCTAAGACAACCAGGTATGGACCAAAAACTTAAAAAAAAAAAAAAACTACTTGGGAAAACTACTCAGGCTAATAGGTATGTTAGTAATAACTACCAGATTTATGAACACGTGCTTTTAAGTTACTCACCTTGTTCTCTCTCCTCATCACTGGCCATAGCTTCCCAATCATCTAAACCAGCATCCTCTGTTTCTTCTTCCTCTTCTGTAAAAAAGGTGTTAGTCAGACACACAGAAATTATCTAGAATGAGATTGTTTTAGAAAAAAAAGTAGAATTAAAGATTTTGCAATGAATACACATGCAATTTAATTACATTGAAATCACAGATACTATGTTAAAATTTATTAAGTACTTATGAATTTTTTAGTATTCTGAATATAACACATAAAACCACCCAGATTTTATATCTGAGATAATTGAAATATTAGAAATTCAGACACTGAACTGTTCCTATAGAAGTGGTTCCCAAATCTACTTGGTTTATAACCCATTTAAGAACAACAACAAAAATTACAGCATTTATCTTAAAGAAAAAGAATGAGAAGTACTCTCCAAAATAGGTTGAATCCTCTTATTGGCTTAGTAAACTGAAGCTGATTTTAAAATGTCACGGCTCTTACTAAGTTCTAAGTAAGCCCAGAGAGACGTTACAAAACCTAAGGCTTGCAGTGGTTAACATGACCCTGATTTGACTACACATACCAGATGTGGTCCCCCAAGCACCATTATTAGGCTTAGCCCCTGATTGTCACTAGGTGGGATACAAAAGCAATTACAGAATATTTTGCAGGTTGCTTATTTGTTTTTAGGCCACACCTGGTGATGCTCCTACGTAACTCCTGGCTCTACACTCAGGTATTACTCCTGGCGGTGCTCAGGGGGCCATATGGAACGTCAGGGATTGAACATGTATCACTACATGCAAGGCAAGCACCCTACCCACTGTACTATTGCTCCGGCCCCAACAATTAAAGTTCCTAATGGAAGTAACTAAGGAATTAAGGATTAGCTTAAAAAAAAAATCCTCTCAACCAAATATTTGACACTTAAAAAAAACCAAAACTATTCAACTTTTACTTGTATGTTTTAGAAAAGTAAACAACGAGAAATCAGTACTACTGCCAGAGACTCGAAGTCCCCGAGCTAATGACAGATAATTAGACAATTATTCAGAACATATCAATACAAGAGGTCAATGCTACTGGCCTGGTTCTACAGGTGGTGTAGTTTCTTCTTTTTCAGGTACTCCTTGTTCCATAATATCTAAGGTAGAACTTATTTCTACTGGTTCAGATACTAAAAAAGAAAAGAAACCAAGTTAACAATGCTACTTCAACACATAACTACCGTGAGGCTACTCAGTTAAATATTGTACTAAAAACCAGTCTTGAAAATCTAAATTCTTCAGAAAGTTTAGAAAACTTTCAAACACTGGCCGAATAGATAGTTCAGTGGGTTGTAGTAACATCATCAGGAGTCTGCTTGGGAGCAGCTTTGGAGTTCACCCCTATGCCCCTCCAAAATAAAAATTAAAAATACACCAGTGATAAGTTTTAGTAAAAACAGCAGTTTTTCTTTTTGTTCAGTGGTAAGATGTAAAATTATATCCTGGGAATATAATGCACAGCATGCTGTATCGTGTATTTGAAAACTGCTAAGAATTAAATCCTAGATGTTCTCAACAAAAGAAAAAAATTGTGACTACAAGAAAAAAAAAAGTAAATTTACAGGTAATTTTTTAGAGTTGAGTCAAATCCAAGCTTTTCAAATAAAGTACTTTTCATCTACCTGTAATATGAACTTGTTCAGAATAACATTAAGAAGGGCTGGTGTGAAAGTACAGTGGGTGGGGTGTTTGCCTTATGAGTGGCCTATCCAAGTTCGAACTCTGGCATCCCATATGGTCGCCTAAAGCACCACCAGGAGTGATTCCTGAGTGGAGAGCCAAAAGTAACCCCTGACAACTGCCAGATGTGGCCCAAAAGCAAAAAAAAAAAACCCACCAGAATGACATTAAGAAAATAGGCTTCTATATGCATTTCTGACTCATTAATTTCTTTTAAAAAAATTTTTTGAGAAATATGCGGGAAAGACACAAAATTGTTTCTAAATCACAAGCAATTTTAAATGCAGACCTTCTTTATTTTCTATCTGTTGTGGCATTTTTTTCTTCTTTTTATCCTCATAAATTGGCCTTTTCTTTGGCAATGAGTCTTTTGATGGCACTTCAACACCTGAGGAATAAAAATTTAAAATGCTAGGTTTACTACTAGTATTAGCAGCTAAGAAATAATAATTTTAGAAGATAACATTTCACTCACTTCAGAGAGATATATACCTTATAGTGTAAAAGAAAATTCATGGAAAAAAAATTCATAAAAAATGTTTTAAGGTGTTTATGCACTGAAATTCTTTTTCTGCACATGTCCATGTTTGATAAAGACAATTATGAAACCATGATCATAAAGATGCAGAACAGATCTATCATTCTATGAGACTCTGTCAATCAACGAATGTTATCCATCCCAAAAGATGTGTATCCCAGAATGCCACAAAAATAACACTATACATAGCTTGGATTTGCATTACAATGGAATTCAGAATCATTCTCTTTGTTGTATGTACTAATATTTCATTTCTTATTTTTGCTTAGTAGCATTTCATATGTAGGATTTTTTACTGAATAACAATGTAAACAGAATTGCTAGTAGATTTTAGAAATTACAGACTGCTATGTACATTTTTATGCAGTTTTTTGTAAAACCATTCCTGGAGGACAAGTTTTTTAAAGTGTCAATCATGGAACATCTCAATCATAGAACACATTACTTTGATAAGAAAGTAACTTTTCCAGAATTTTTCACGACTTTACATTCTCTCGAGTAATAAATGACATGACAATCCTAACTGCTGATTTTTGTTTCAAATTAATTGTGTATTCTTATAAATACACCATGCTCTGAACACTTGTGATCTTAAAATTACCACATGCCTAAAAATGTTAAGCATTTCTTTTGTGCTTACAATTCTTGGCGAAGTTTCTGTTCAAAATTGCCAGTTTCAAAAACTAAGGTTGGCAGAAGTAGGTGTGTGTGTGTGGAGGGAATGGGGAGGAAGAGAGAGAAGAAAGGTGTCTGCTATAGAGGTAGGTGAAGGTCTGGGGGGTGCATGGGAGGGAAACTGGGGACACTGGTGGTAGGAAATGTACACAAGTGATGTGATAGGTGTTGCAACATGATGAAACCCAATCATGAACATCTTTGTAACTGCCTGTCTAATAGTAATTCAATTAAAAATACGCAATTTTAAAAGGTTGTTGGTTGACTTATTTTTGAGTGTTGAGTCACATTATTTTGTAATCCTTTCTGAAATAAGAGACTTGAAGATACTGTCTAGATTCTCTCAAATTTTTAACTGAGTTAGATTTTATATAATTAAGGGATACATATTTTCTTCACATGCACAATCTCTGGGCTTAAATATATCAAAGGTCCCCGTAATTAAATGTGAGGAGTCCCTGAGCATCACAAGGTATAGTAGCCCCTCCAAAATAAAACAGGTGAAGGATACAAATATTCTGACGTGGGCTCGGGAGACACATGCTTTGCATGCAGGAGATCCAGGTACAATCCCCAGCACCTGAGCAGTACTCAGTTCCCCACATACCATGGAGAGTGATCACCATCCCCACACAAAGCCTCGAGTAGCCAAACACCATTCCGGTCAAATTTTTTTAAGGTCTCTCCCTAAAAAAATATGTAGAATTTTTCTAGGGCCTGTCTCTTAAAAAAAAAAAAATGAACTTTTCCCCCTACATTCCTAAAAATTCTTATAAAATTCTTCACTACCACTCTTCCTTATACTTTGATTTGTGTATTACTAAATAAGAAAAAATATATAGAAAAGCCAAAATGGGGGCAAGTTAAAAGAAGATAAAGTGTATCTTCAACATACCCTTTCCTCTAAAAAAAAAAGTCCCTCTGGGGACCAGATAGTACAGTGGGCAGGGCACTTGCCTTGTACCTGGGTTCAATTCCTAACACATCATATGGTTCCCAGCCCTTCTAAGAGTGATCCCTGAGCACCACCAAGTATGCCCGAAATCAAAGAAATGCGGGGGGGGGAGGAAAAAAGGGAAGGAAGTGCCTCTAGTATCCAGACAGGAAATAAAAAGAAAAAACAGACTTAAGCCTACTTTTTCCCAATTATAATGAGCTTTCTATGTAGTTGAAAATAAGATTTAAGGGACCAGAGAAATAATACAGTGGGTAAGGCACCAACACAGGTTCTCTCCACAGCATACAATATGGTCACCTGATTACCACCAGCAGTAATTCCTGAGTGCAGAGCCAGGGGTAACCCCTGAACACTGCCACATGTGGTCCAAAAACAATGAACACATAAAACCCAAAATTAAAAATTAAAAATATTCATAAGCTGGAAAAAGTAGTACAGTGGATAGGGAGCTTGCCCTGCAAGAGGTCAAGCCAGGTTTGCACCCCAGCACCCAATAAAACTACCTGAGAACCACAAGAAGTGATTCCTGAGTACAGAGACAGGAGGAAGCCCTGAGCACCGACAGGTGTGGCCCAAACCTTCCCCTCACCCCACTCAAAAAAAAAACCCTATTAAAAATAAGTAAGACTCAATTAAAAAGTGACTTACCTAAAATGAAAAAGTATCATGTCAATTTAAAACAGAACAAACCAATGGCACATAATTTGCAAATAATATTGCTGAGTCTGAAGAGAATGTATCTTCCTCAGTAAACAGTTAATGGCCAATGTCAACAGAAACAAAGTTATTAATGTAATTGTTTTCTCACAATCCTTCCTCTCCATTCATAAAACTAAACCTATTGGTTTAGTGAGTTATCTCACCAAGGGCTGGAGTGATAGCACACCAGTAGGGCGTTTGCCTTGCGTGTGACAAGCTTGGCCAAGCCAGGTTCAACTTCTCTGTCCCTCTCGGAGAGCCCGGCAAGCTACCGAGAGTATCTCACCTTCACAGCAAAGTTACTGGGCCCGGTCAGAGCAAATTGATGAACAACAGGATGACAGTGCTACAGTGCTCACTAAGAGCAGAAATTTTACAATAAAGGCAAGAGTAAAACTTTAATATGGGATTTTAATAGTTCTTAAAAATTTAAGAATCATCACTTAAGCTATGAACATATATATTTAAATGCTACTGGTTACAACTGTAAAATCATAGCTATGCCCGATAAGATAACTATAATAAACAAACACAATGAAGTACAACAATGCTGGGCGATGATGCAGACATTATCAGAGTACCAGAATTCTCCACGTCCAATACTACTTCATGAAAGCAGGGGTCTCGGGAAAAACTGATCTGAATGGACCCAAAAATGCAACAGAACCATCAACTGAAAAGTCCTCTAGTTAAGGATTATTTAGTAAAATGCTTTTTATGTAATCAGCACCAAGATTTGTGTGTTCAATATTCTATTTACCCTTCAAAGTAAGAAATTATAATCAAACTCTTGAAGATGTTCTTTATCTAAACTGAGTTCAATCCTAATTATTTAAAAGGGCAAGCAGTCATAACTTTATTCTACAGAACATCTGAGAAGCAATGTGCTACATATTTCTAAATAAGTATCTGAAAATATCTATAGATACTTATGCATTTTTAGCTCAACGAATAAGCTCTATATTGCTCCAAATGATATATGTGATAGTTATTCTTAGCCAACAAGGTAACCTGGAAAGATAACTGGTATTTCATGAGAAAAAGTTTACTTTTATTTTTAGGTAATAGAGAACCAAGAAGAATATATTTCTTGGGCAAAAAAAAAAAAAAAAAAAAAATAAGGGAAAACACTAGGGGAAGACACATCCATGTGAGACACCATTTTTTCCAAGACTGTCATAAGATGGATGCTAAGTGCTTTTTGGGTTTTGTTTCGTTTTTATTTTTTGAGTCACACCCAGCCATGCTTAGAGGGTACTTCCAGCTCTGTATTCAGGTATAGTTCCTGGAGGTGTTCAGGGATCACCCTATGCCAGGGTGTAGGATGACACTGCTTTGTCATTTCTCCCTTTCTCCACAAGGAGCTTAGGTTTATCTGGTTATACCCATCACAGTGCTCCTGAGGCACTTCCATTCCATTGTATTTATCTGTAAATTCTTCCCTATGCACTCCTCCCCAACCAGTTAATCAGCTTTCCCCCTAATCAGACTCTGTTAACCTGTAAGGTTAGATTCCTCAGAAATCTATGATTTTATATGTATGAGTGAAATATTGCCTTTCTCCTCTCCTTATGTCTTATGAATAGTTTGCTTTAAAGCAATGCCCTTTTTGTATAGATACAGGAAGACCATTAATATTATGCTTTGTAACTTAGAATTTAATTGGCTTTGAATATTATTCACTCCCAGGCATCTGCTTTCTCGACTTAAGCCTCAGTTGCCCTTAGTTCCTAACACCCCAAAAGCAGGGTCCCGACGAGGAACTGAATGGACCCAGGGCAAGCGGCGAGCTACCCTGGCATCGAAATAGGCCAGGCCAAAGTGCCACGATTCTTAACTATAAGTTAAGAGTTTGATCATAGACAAATGCTGTCATGATCCAAAGTAACAACGAGACTAGGATCCTGCTAGGGGTAGGAAAGACTATCTGGCCTGAGCACTGTAGTCTGAGATCGAGATGGCCCTAGGAGGGCAATTCTGTAAGTTTAAGACATTTCTTACTCTGTCCATACAAAATGATTTATATTATATATGCTTATATGTTCGTTGGACAAGGAGAGGAGAAACACACCCAGGGGATTCTGCTCTAGGGTGGATTGATCTGATAATGAGGATGTGTCCTAGGAGCGGATGTCCCCGAGGGAAAGAATTCTACCCCTATTGATTGTGATTGCACCTATGTGTAATTGTTACCCCAACCCCTCATGCTTGGGGATTTAACTAGACTATAAGAGTGGGCTGAGAGGATCAGGATCAGAATCCAGACTCCAGAAAAGGAGGATGAAGGGAGATCGAGAAGGAGAATGAAGTAGCATGGGGGAGGAAGAAGCAGAGGAGGCAGAGAACAGAGACAGGAGTGGATTGAGAGGGGATTGGAATAAACTGCAACGAAGACCAACCAATTGGGCCCTCATTTCCTTCCTTCGCCTGCCCATCACCATCGATGTTCCGGGGGTGGGGGAAGCAGCGTGAGACTACCAAACGTGGGCGGCGGAAGAGACAGAGCCGCCACCGCTGTGCTGTCTTTTTTGAGTTTACACACCAGGGTTCAAACTTGGGTCTCCTATTAAATATATATACATAATATATATTTAGACCTACTTAATATATCAATATATCAACCTTGGCATCACAAGAAGAAAATTAGATCATATGCATCCTGGCATGAAGTAATATGAAGTACCTGATACCATGCAAGATCTAAGAAATCACGAAGGATTAAGATAAAAAAGTACATTAGCCTATCAGCAGAATGTAATTAAATCCAGAACATAAGAAATTTTATCTTCAATAAACAAATACCGGTATAAAGATACAGATATATCAACTAAATGCAATGTGTAACTCTATTTTGATGGTGATTTAAAAAAACTCAATTATGAAAAGATTTTGGAGCCAAGTAAAAAATAAAACATGAACATAAAATCAGACAATCCTATGAAAACTGAATGTAATATGTACTAACACTCTGCTTCTTTAAGTGATAAAGTAAAATAAATATAATCAAAATAAAATGGTGTCTTAATTAACCTTAAAATACTCCAAGAAAGAAAACTAAGTGGAGGGGGACAAATGTGGTAAATGCTTTTAACTGCTGAAACTAGTTGGTACCAATTTTATTACAATCTCTACTTTTGATTGGGGAAAATAAACAGACTTATTATCATTTATATATATTTTGTATCACAGCAATCATTTCTTAAATTATCCCAACTGTTATGTGCTTTTTCATACCATGCTTATAAGAATCCTGATTATCCTTCTGACCACAACAGAGCTATAACTTCTTAAGAAACACTTTAGCTTGAAAGTGTCTGACTGCGCTGCTAGGGCTAGGGGATGACTGAAAGAACTGAAGCACAAGCTTTGCACCCAAGAAGCCCAGACTTAATCCTGGCACCACAGGATCTCCCGAAGAATTGCTGTGAGTAAATCAAGTCAGGTTACAGCTAAAATAACAATGAGAGAGAGAGAGAGAGAGAGAGAGAGAGAGAGACAGAGAGAGACAGAGAGAGACAGAGAGAGACCCCTGGGGGCGGCAGGGCAAAATTACCTTGAGCTTGCAGAAGTTTTAGGGTAGCTTCAGCTCTGGCTCTGGCTTCTCTCTGTGATTTAGTTAAAAGTTTCCCTTCTTTTTTCAAGCGTTCTTTTCTTTCTTTTTCCTTTTGTTTTTTCCTTTCCCTTTTTTCTTGTTCCAATCTTTCCTACAAATCAACATGTCAGATGAAAATTGTATTAGCTAACTGAATTAGAAAATTTAAGTATCAACCCAGAATTTCAAATAAAAGCAAAGTTTTAAGAGATATCAAATAAAAATATTGTAAATGTTCCGTGTAAGATTAATTCGTATATTAAACTATATGTTGGCAATGTCAGACACACAGACAACTACTTTCTTAAACTCAATAAAAAAGAGAATTTTCTGTACCTCTTCATCTTATTTTACTTAATAACAGTAAGTAATGGGTAGTGGGTAATATCCGTGATCCAAGGGGGCTATTACTGGGTATTGGACTCAGGAATGACCCCTAACAGTGCTCTAGGGATTCAAATGGAGGATCAGGGGATCCAAGTTAAGCACTTTAAATCCAGCACTTCATCCCCATCATATTTTGTTAGAACAATGTTTTGGTTTGTAACTATTTTACAGAAATTTTAGGTTAGACACAATGTCAAAATAACTAAGACATACCTCTTCTTTGCGCTTGGCTTCTAATTCTTCAAGCCTTTTTATCCTTTCTTCCTCCTCTCTTTTCTGCCTTTCTTCTTCTTCTTTAAGCTTAGCCAGAGCTTCTTGCATAGCTTTAACTGTGGCTTTGCTAGGTCCTTTCTTCTTCTCCTTTTCTTTTTCTTCCTTCTCTCCTTTTTTTTTCTTCTTGTCTTTTTTTTTTTTGTCCCCTTCATTTTCATCTACCAAAAAGAGTAATATAACAAGAATTTGTAAAAAGTTACTTCCTACTATGATTGGAAAGAGAGTACGGGAGGTAAGGCGCTTCCCTTTCATGCTTCCTATGGCAACAATTAACTCCAGAATTCAAGAACCATAATGGGACACAGCTTATGTCAACAAGCTAGCAACTCCAGGCATCAAGGTATTCTGAATACTTGTGCACTATGCACTTGAGAACCAAAAAGAGCTTAAAATAACCAGTTTGGGATTCTGAGAAATCTACAAAACTGGGACTGCCCCGAGTTGTCCTTAAGAATGCAAGAGGATACTGTCAGTAGGAAAAATACTGTTATCTATCACTTAATTATGACATCTGACATTCAGCCCTAAATTTTTATGATTTCACAAAGTAATAAAAATGATATCTTTTTTTTTTCCTTGCTTTTTGGATCACGCCTGGCGATGCACAGGGGTTACTCCTGGCTCTGCACTCAGGAATCACCCCTGGCCGTGCTCAGGGGACTATATGGGATGATGGGAATCGAACCCAGGTTGGCCCCGTGCAAGGCAAACGCCCTACCCGCTGTGCTACTGCTCCAGCCCAAAAATGATATCTTTTTTACAAAAATAAAATTACACTCAAAAACTTTACAGCATCCCACTAAAGAATTAAACTTTCATGCTTCTCTCAAAGATACCTGATAATACAGTCAGAGCGATAGTACAGTGGGTAGGCCATACGCCTAGCCAGACCCTACCAGGTGTGACAACTGACTGCAGAGCCAGAAATAAGCCCTGAGTACAACCAGTGCCCCCAAATAAAAAAATAAAAAAGATATCTGAAAATAAAAATACCCAAAGTTATATCAATTTTTCAATTAAATGTCTTCCAGTCTAATGTAAATCAGGTGGCAGCAGAACCAGGTTTAATCCCTGGTAACCCATATGATCCCCCAAGCTCACCAGGATCCTAGAGCAGAGAGCCATAAGTAAGCCCTGAGCACCACCAGGTGTGGCGCACCCCCAGACCCCCCCAAAAAAGGTAAATCATGTGGCCTTTTTAAAAATTATGAGTAAGGAATTTAATTTAAAAGCGTTTAGGCAATTGGTTCTGGCTCAGAAATATGACTCACTATATTTTGAGAAAAAACACTAATTTTAGCATGTTTTTCAGTTTGAAATGGAGTTTTAAAATAGAATTTTAATTTAACAGAGTTGTCAAAAGAAAAAACAAAACTTTCATTAGACAATTTCTTCTATCAAGAGCAAAAAGACTCTTTCATAGCCTAAAGTGACTAAAAATCTTTTGACTTTGCACAAACCATTTAAGATTCACAAGATGATACCTCTTTGATATGAACAATGTCCATCAATTCAAAGACTATTCAATGAGCAAAAGTGCCAACACTATTCAGCTATAGCTTTCAAAGGACCTCTTACAAATTGGCACCTTTTTAACCAATATCGAAATTACCTTGGGGCTATCATCATCATCATGATGACACTGTAATGTTTAAACAAACTAAATATGAATCGATGGTTTTCACCCCTTTCCTTATATTATTACCAACCTTCAGCAGCTGTGGGAGTCTCTCCTTTCTCTTCAGAGACCAGGGTTGCTCCAGTATCAAGAGACACTTTGGGTTTAACAGGTTCCTCTTCTGATCTTTTTTGAGAATCTTTTTGTTTATTTTGATCCTTTTTGCCAGTTTCTAACTCTTCTTTTTCTTTAAGCTTCCGCAGTTTTGCCTTCTCTTCGTCTCGCTTTTTCCTCTCACGCTCTTTCTTTTCTGCCTTCTTTTGGGCCACTGTTTTAATTTTGAAGGAAGAGTCATCATCTTCATTCCCACTCTCTACATTAGGACCTGCCTTGTTTTTTTGATTTTTTTTCTGTCCTTTTCTAGACTGCAAAACTTCATCTGATTCATCACCACTTTCACCTGAAGAATCTACTCTGGAACGTTCTTTAGTTCTTTTACTGTTATCTTCATCTTCTTCCGATCCATCGCATTTTTTATTAGATTTCTGAGCTTTCCCTTTAGCTTTTTTAGAAAGTTTATTAAAATCATCCTCATCATCACTTCCAGAATACACTTCCACTTTTAGCTTTGCAGTCTTCTTTGATTTTGAATCTTTATCTTCCAATTCTTCACTATCATCATCAAAACTTTGCTTTTTGCTTTTCTGTCCTTTCTTTTTCTTATCTTGTTTTGAGGTGGGTTCCTCTTCATTATTCTCGGTTGTCTGGAAAAATGGCCATCATTAGATACTAAGAGAATCTATTTCATTTTTTAAAACAATCTAGACTCATCAGATTCACATACTTCATTAACTACACATAAGAAAATTTATTCAATATGATTTTTAAATTTTTATAACAACTTAAAACTCAACCAAGGGCCAGAAGCTAGCCCAAGTCTCAGATACATTTAAGAGTTATGGTACATTTCAGAATCCAAATAATGTAAAGTTTTTAAATATCAGTACACATTTACCTACCTTCTTCAAATGGCAAAAATGCATAAAGGTTAAATGAAAAGAAAAACACCTACCCTTTTCCCATTACTTTAAGGCTTATCCAGATACATTACTTTAAAGATGCAAAATAAATCATATAGAAATTCTAAGTGGAAATGGAAAATGTATCTCCAAATGAATCAATTTTATACTTAGCAACCTACCACCAGCTACACTTAAGATTCCCAAATAAACCACTGAAAACAAAACTTTCAAGAAGTTTTTATAAATATTCTATATTTGTAAGTAACTTTCCACTCTTGACATGAAAATTTATAAACTTTTAATTAACTGTTAACATTGCTCAAAAGGTTCCCAAAAGAGATCCCTAAAATTGGCACTGGTAAGTCATGTATGTGGAATAAAGAAAGAAGTCTTTCACCTTTACTGCAGCAGTTTCTTTGTCAACTTTTATGCCTTGAGCTTCCCAAGACAATTCTTCCAGTTCTTTCAGTATATCATCTTCACTAAGAAAGAATTAAAAATATTTTTTGAGGCATGAATTAATTTAGCACGTGAATCCAGTACCAAAGGTAATTAAAAAATCAACTGTATTTAAAATATACTTACTCAAAGTCTTGTCTTTTTTTCTCCTTTTTCTTTTTCCCCTTTGACTTTTGAGGTTCCTGTTCTTTAGTAGCACCAGCTCCTTCTATTTCTGCAGCCAAAGCATCGAGATCAATGTCATCCTTAGCACTTAAATAAAAAAGAAAAACTAAGGGTTACTCAGGAGCAAAATAATCTCATTCTACCTTAGAGTATTTTTTTCAATAATTTGTCTTTTTCATGAATTGAAGTCCACCAAGAAAAATTATTTGGCAAGATTCTTCATTACAATTCTTCGTATCTACCTTTCAATCCCCAATATGTTTCAGTAAAACTCAAAGGAGCATTAATGAAGAACTCCAAGAATGAAACATGATCAAATTAAGGAAATTATTATTGATGATACCTAAGTTTTGGGATGTGTGTCCAACAGAATTTATAAAAGGGAAATAACTTAAAATAAAAGCCATATTACCTAACTACAACTAACAAATATTTAGTTACCACTTATATATTTAAACATTTAGGTTTTGTTTTTTTTTTTCTTTTTGGGTCACACCTGGTGATGCACAGGAGTTACTCCTGGCTCTGCAGTCAGGAATTACTTCTGGCAGTGCTCGGGGGACCGTATGGGATGCTGGGAATTGAACCTGGGTTGGCCGCATGCAAGGCAAATGCCCTATCCACTCCAGCCCCAACACTTAGGTATTTGTACTTGAAATACAGGAAATTTTAAAGTTTGCAGAAACATTTGTAATCTACTCTATTATTTTATTTACAATTTACAAAGTCTGGGCAAAAGATGACTGATACATATCCAAATTATAAATGAATTAATAAATAATGGTTCACTAAATACTGCAAAATCCAGAAACAAACCTACTCAATCTTTTCTATTTGGTTTAATGTCTGGCTCCATCCTGGATTAAACTGTCCTCACCTGCCAATATTTCTTGATGTGAACAAAATTAAGTTTTGGGTAAAACACAGAATAGTAAGGCGGTTAACCTTAAAAAGTAGTAGATTCAAATGAATGATACAGTAAGAAAAGAAAGCCATAGCACACGATGGCCCTCACTAAGAGAAACCTTGTTGTATCACCTTGTTTTAAAGACAATTTCACAAGAAATTCTAAAGAGAAATAACTATATGATAAATGTATTTAACGTTAAAGAGTTGAGTAGGTATCTTCAATGAAATTAGTTAAATAAGATGGCAAGCCAATCACCCAGAAATTGCAAATGTTAAGAAGTACAAAGTAATTTAGTGCTTTTATAAATAATTTGTGAAAACTGAAATGTTCCTGTTGTTATACGTTTTACTGTTCTTAGGAGAATTACAGAAAAATAAACTACAGTGGAAGTGAGTTCCTAAGAAAATCAGACACCGGCAGAAAAGCCTATAAAAATCTTAAGGAGGAACTGGAAGACTTAGTCAGGAAAAGGAAGTTGAGTATCAAATACACAAGTTAAAAAAAAAATTTCTAAAAACTTACAAAAAATGAAGTGCAGGGTACCTCAGGAGAATGCATAGAAGGATGGCTGAATAAACTGAGATTTTTACGTGTTATAAATTTCTTGAGATCTGGGGATGTGAGAAACTAAGAACTAGGAGGCACCAAACACTGTATTTTGAGGCCAGAGCAATAGCATAGCAGGTAGAGCATTTGCCTTGCACACAGCTGATCTGGGTTCCATCCTCAGCATCCCATACAGTCCCCAGAAGACTGTCAGGGGTAATTCCTGAGTGCAGAGCCAGAAGTACCTGGAAATCACTGGGTATGATCCAAAAAGCAAACCCCCCCCACCCGAGTACCATAGCACTGTAGCACTGCACTGTCCTCCCGCTGTTCATTGATTCACTCGAGCGGGTCCAGTAATGTCTCCACTGTGGCGATTGTTACTGTGTTTGGCATATCGAATACGTCAAGGGTAGCTTGTCGGCTTTGCCGTGCGGGGTAGCTTGCCAGGCTCTCCGAGAGGGGTAGAGGAATCGAACTCAGGTCGGCCAGGTCGGTTGTGTGCACAGTAAACTCCCTACCCATTGTGCTATTGCTCCAGCCCTAAGAGTACCGTATTTTTAGCAATTTTTCTTTGTGACTGAGTCAGATTTGAACACTATTATCTTCATCATTTTACACATAAAGAAACTGAGGTACAGAGAATTTGACCAAAATCACACAAGGGAAAAATGAAATTTGAACCCTCAAGTTCTCATTCCACAGTGCAAAAGAAGTCTTAATCCTACTCACATCAAAGTCACTATTCAGAAAGCTCTTTCTGGTAGCAGAATCCCAATTAATTAGGAAGACAAATTAACAAAGGCCTGATTTTGTTAACTGTAAAGACAGTTCAACTTAAAAACAATGAACAACTGATTTGCAACAGCAGCAGACAAGATGACATGAGTCAAAATAATATTAAAGAAATCAAACAGTAACACTTAAGTAATTAGGAGTCTACAGAAAACATGAGAAGAAGCAAACATAATTCCCTGGTTTCATCAAGTAACAGGAATCTAAGTCTGGCCCAGCATCAGCAACCAGTATCTCCAAGTGCCTCTGCCAGCATTTCACTCTACAGCAGCTTCTGAAGGAAGGAAAGACGAGGAGGTGGTTAATGATTGAAGCCTGGCACCTCATCTCTAAAACTTGCCAAACTTCAATCTAAACTATATTCATCCATTCAAAATAGTTTTTAGATCAGACCTTCTTCCCTGCCAAGTGCATCCTCACCACCTCCACCGACCAGCCTTGCACCCCACCACACTGCCAAATGGACCACACTGTTTCTGCAGCAGTGGCAGTGTCTGATCCTGCCCTGATTCAAATGCAAAGACCGCAAATGTGCCTCCTTCAAGAAAAGGTGCTATTCCTGCTGCCCTCAGAACTGTACTGAGTGCATCTGGGATGTACCTTCAAAGGGGCATCAAACAAATGTAGTAGCTGTGCCCGAATTTGGAGAAGCGGAGTACGAGCATCCTCCCAGGTGTACATTAGAGCAAAGTTCTGACACTGCCCATCCTTGTGGGGACCTGACCTGCTGGCTTCCAGCTATCTCTGTTCTATGAAAAAGAATGAAAGTAAACGTTCTTGTCTTAAAAAGGTTTTTAAAAAGCTTCTTGTGATGGGCTACACTTTCAGATATTCACCACCAAACATTTCGACAATACAGGACATTTGTATGCCATAAAGTCTATTACTGATTTCTGGGAAATAATGAAAGACCATTTAAAAACAAGTGTGTAATGCCCTGCCACAGAGGCAGGGTGGAGTGGGGGGATGGGGGGGTGGGAGGGATACTGGGACAGTGGTGGTGGAAAATGGGCACTGGTAGAGGGATGGGTGTTTGATCATTGTATAACTGAAACCCAAGCACAAAAATTTGTAAATCTACAACTGTACCTCGTGGTGTTTCACTAATAAAATAAATAAATAAATAAATAAATAGAAACAAGTGTGTATATCTATCTGGCAATGTGCTGACCAAATGCTAAATACAATATGCCATTAATCCTCATACAAATGTATGAAGTCAAAAGTAATTTCTAAAAGGCCACCCAGCTAACGTAACATACCAGGAATAAGCCCCAAACTGACACCATACTGTACTGTCTTCCTAAAAAAAGGGAAATAATGATATTTGAAAAATTTACTCATAGTTACAAAATGTCAGTAATCTACAACAGTGGTTTTCAACTTCAAGTCCACCATTTTCAGTCTATATGCTATACCTACCAACAACAAACAGCAGCTTTAAGATCTCAACAAACAGACTCAACTCTTAAAACCCAGCCATGCTGATTTACAGTTTTCAAAACTTTGAAGAATCTGTGAAAATATTTTCTTATTTCTCTTTCTCAACGGGGAGCCATCATATGGCCTCTTGTGGGAGCCAGGGCTATTCCAAATTGGGGTGTAGACAAGATAGCAGTAGGAAAGGGCAGCCACAGGAAGGAAAGATGGAGAAAGTGGACCACCATCAGAAAAGGTTGAGAAATACTGCACTAGACTTTTTCCTTCCTCAAAGCAGTATTATTCTTGCTATAACCCTTAGTCCTTTGTTTTCTAAATTTATTCTTTATTCTAAAATGTTTTCTAGATTTATTCTTTACTTTAAAATTATATTCATCTCCAGTTTTGCTTTATGGTTTTTAGAACACACCCTTCCTACTCCCTAAAATATGGAGGTAATAAAAGATATGTGTAAGCATTTAACAAAACAGACAAGTTTTCTTAAGTATCTTTAACTAGTCATATTTAACTGTGAAGTCATATTTAACTTTAACAATTTTTTCAGTTCTAAACATGAGACTGTTGGTCAATATGTGGTTTACATATATCAGAATCCCTCACAAAATTGTATAGGTTCTTAGAAATTGCAAAATTAATGTAAACAATGTATAACAGAACCAGTTCCATTAATAATTTCATTTAAACCTAGGCCAGGATAATTTTTTTTATCCAAATGTTAACTAAATGATTTTAGAAGCCTTGCTTTATTTCCTGTTGCTAGCTTATCTTTTCCTCCTGAAAATGTAATTTGTTGTTATTAATAATAATAATAATACAGTGTAGGGAATTGAACCCAGAGTTCCACACATGCAGAGCATAGGCTGTGCTGTTGAGCCAAAATTCCCAATGCAAATGAAATGGCTAACTTAGATAAAACGGGCACACTTCCTAGCAAGACAAACTACTAAACAGGTTCAAGGCTAGGGAAGTAGCTCTAAGAGCTGGAGCACAAGTCTGACACCACAGGGCACCAGGTTCAGTCCACAGAAACTACAGATTTCCTGAGTACTGCCAAGTGTGACTCTGGTGGTCCCTCAAAGAATCAAGAAATAAATTATGTGAACAGACTAATAAAGCAATAAAATATTTTAAAAATAATTGCACCCAATGATGCTCAGCCCAGTAAATGCAGGCCTATTTGGTACTCACACGAGTTATAAAGTATTTGGAGGCTAACAAGATCACAACTAGTAGTATTTCAGATTTAACTCAGGGCCTCAGAAATGCTATGTGCTCTAATACTGGCCAAGCTCCCTGGGTCCCTAGATTACTATTTCTTAAAATTTCCCTCCAGAAGCTCTGTGGTGAGTTCTATAAAATATTTTCAAAAGTTCAATCCTTCAGGAAAAAAGTTCAA